GGACACCCTTGGCCTGGTTGCTACACAGATCCCCCTCCTCTCACCAGAGTCCTAGGGGACACTGAGGACACTCTTGTCCTGGTCATCAGTTCCCAAGCACCCCCTAAATTCTGACACCAGGGACATCTTGCGATGGGAAGGTGGGCAGTTTGGGCCCTCTAGGGATGTTTAGGGACATGGTAGTGTCCCCATGACCTCACCTTGTTGAACTCAACAGGGCTGAAGATGTCGATGCGCTCAGAGAAAAGCTTCTGGATGTTGCTGAGCAAGTGGGTGTCCATGGGGGCACTGAGGACATGGACACAGGGACAGTCAGGGACTTGACAGGGCCAGGGATGTGGGGACAGGGACACAGGGAGCATTAGGGGCCATGGAGAGGGTTCAGAGGATGCAGGGATGGTTTGCGGACAGAAAAGTAGGGCAATGTGAGGATGGTCTTAGGACACAGAGGGACGAGACAACTGAGGGACAAAAGGACCAGGGGATTCCGGGACAGTTGTAAGGAACACTGGGATTGTTGGGACAGTCTGTGGATATGGGGATAGCTAAGGGCTGTCAAGATAGTGGAAGGGCATTGAAACAGTCTGGGATCATGAAGAGGGTGACAGGGATGATGCAGTGGATATTCAAGGAGTCACAGGTGGCCCGGGGAGTGGCAGGGTGGCCCAGGCAGTGACGCAGGGATGCCAGGGTGACCCAACCAGTGACACAGAGCGCCCAGGGGTGCCTGGGTGGCCCAGGCAGTGACACAGGGATGTCAGGGCTGACCTGGGGGTGTAGCTGGGGGCATAGCGGCCAGGTGCCCGAGAGCTGCTGTAGACAGAGAAGGCGCGCCGGCTGGAATCGCTGCTCTGTGCCCGCCTCACCCCCTCCTCGAAGAGCTGTCCCACCTGTGGGTGGCACCACACCCTCAGCACCCAAAACCCCCTCCTGGGACCCCCCAAACCATCCAGCATCCCTCTCACACACCCTTCCAGGATCCCCAAAGGGCCACACAGGGATCTTGGGCAAACGCCCTAGACCCCTCTAGGGCTGTCCAACCCCTCAGCCCTGGTGTCAGCCCGACCTGGACATCGATGGCGGTGATGTCCTCCACCACGCGCTTCATGACGGCGCGCACGTTGCGGGGCTCGACGGTGCCCAGCCAGTCGCGCGTCTCGACGCTCTTGCGCAGCATCTGCGCCACGGCCGCGCCCTGCACCTGCACGTAGTGGTCCAGCAGCCGCTGCGCCGCCGCCCGCGCCTCCGCACACAGCGCCGGCCCCGGCGTCACCGCCGGCCCCGAGTCCTGTGGGACATATACAGGTAGGATCAGCCCCGCACCTCCTCTGCAGCACTGGGACTGCAAGGGGCATGGGGATATGTGGAGAAGCCTCCTCTCCCTGTGGCTCTACATCTGATGTCCTGGGGGCACAGGGACATTGGGGACAGGTGGGACACACTGCCCCTCTTCCACGTCCTTGGGGCTTCAGGGACTCTTGAGGCCATGCAGAACCCCCCTGAACATCCCTCGGGGCCATTTAGAGGCTCACCTGGGGTGGGAACTGCTCATCGGTGAGGGTGAGGATGTAGCTGATGGTCGAGTTCTCATAGTCCAGGCAGAGACGGGCGAGGAGCAGCAGCAGGGCTGGGGGGGCGGCAGGAGCTCCCCGCTCAGCCGGGCCATCAGCAAAGCCACGGGCGGTGCGGCACAGCCAGCGCACAAAGGCCACCACCAGCCCCTCACGCACTGCTGTCACACAGAACTCCCCCTGTGCCACAAATAGAGGGGTGGGGTCACACCCCCAAACCCTCCAAACTGCCCCGTATGGCCTCCAAACCACCCTGTGTGATGTGCCACCCACAGACTGCTCCAGTGACCCCCAAAGTCCGCACCCCACAATGCCCCACCTTGAAGTAGGGCAGGCTGGCGAAGGCGACGTCCCTGGCAGTGAAGAGCTGCACATAGGCCAGCACGGCCTTGAGCTGGCCCAGCACGGAAGCAGCGAGCGTGGCCAGCAGGTCGGGCAGGCCAGGCCCCTCTTTGCCGGGGGGCCGAGGGGCAGCCAGCGCCTGGCGCACATCACCCAGGCAGCCCAGGAAGAAGGTCTGCAGGGCTCGCAGGTAGCGATCCACACGCTCGCGGGCGGCCCGGGCCACCAGCTCGGCGGCAGCGTCGGCGCCCGCGGGCAGCAGCTCCAGCAGCGCGCGCAGCCGGCGGTGGAAGCGGTCGAGGGCCCGCACCAGCAGGGACGTGTCGCCCAGGCCGCGCTCCAGCGCCAGCCGCCGCTCCAGCAGCGCGAAGTAGCGGGTGGCCAGCGCGGCGGCAAAGGGCTCCAGGCGCTCCGTGTCCCCGCCGAACAGCGCGCGGTACGAGCCGGCCAGCTGGCACAGCGTGCCCACGAAGGCCGAGCTGCCACGGTCCACGAAGTCCAGGATGTCAGAGGCGGGTGGGGGTGGCGTGGTGGCCGTGCCCGAGGGATCGGCCGCGGGCAGCTCGGCCTCCAGCGCCGCCAGCTCGGCCTCAAGGCGCGCACCCGCCTGGCTCAGGAACTCCTCGCTCAGCTCCTCAGCCGGCTCCTCCAGCTGCAGCAGCATCTCCACACACTCGGTGAGTTCCTTGGGGTCCAGCGTCTCCTCCCTGGTGGTCGGGAGGGCCCGGGGTTAACAGTGGCATGGCAGAAAAGAGAGAATAAGCAACAGAAGTCATCAGCAGGCTGCAGAGCGAACAACCCCAAACTGCATTTCCCAGCGCAGCCATCAGCAGGCCCCAGGGTGAACGCACCGGAGGCGTGTGCGGAGGCGCTGGGCCAGCTCGGCCATGATGGCGTGGCTCTCGTCCTCGATGGCGCGGAAGGAGGGCAGGTGGCGGTAGTGGCGCAGCACCGCACGGGCGCGGGCGTGGCAGCGCAGGGCCCGCGCCGGTTCCGTCCCCGCCCAGCGCCGCAGCCGCCCCGGCACCTCCACCAGCGCCTGCAGCTTCCGCAGCAGCGCCTGCACCCCTGGGTTGGGGACACGGGGTCAGGGTTGGGGACACAAATGGAGCAGGATGAGACATGGGGGTGGGACCGTCTGTTGGATCTGCCCCCCATGGGGGACACCCACCCCCTAGATATGCCCCTCTACTCCACATCCCAATAAATCTCCCTGGATCTGTCCCCCTGGATGGACCTGCTCCATACCAGCCAGCTGGGCCCCGCGGCGGTGCCGGTCCTGCAGCGCGGCGCTGACGCGGGCGCTCGAGGCGCTGATGGCCGCCATGTTGGCCGCCAGGTCATCCATCTCCGCCTCCATGTGCCGGAAATCCACCTTCATCTTCCGGATGGTGTCTGGGGAATGCGAGTCAAGTGCCAAGTCCCTCAACTGCCCAGGACCCTCCTGGCCCGCCCAGGATTAACACACCACAACCCTAACCCCCTAGAGACGGCTGGATACTGAAGTGGCTGTCATTGGTCTCCAGAGTGAACCACCATGTCCCCCAGGGCAGCTTCCCACTGCTGCAAGAGTGAACACCCCCAAATCCCCGTTTCCCATTGCTGCCATCAGTAGATTTCAGAGTGAACACCCCCAAATCTCCACTTCCCATCACTGCCCTCAGCAGGCTAAGAGTGAACATCCCCAAATCCCATGCTACTATCATCAGTAGATTTCAGAGTGAGCATCCCCAAATCCCCATTACCCATTGCTGCAATCAGTAGGCTCCAGAAGGAACAGCTCACCGGTGGCAGAGATGAATTTGTTGTAGTTCTCGTAGAGCAGGGTCTGCATGTCACTGTCCAGGGCACGGATCTCCCGGCCCAGTGCGGCCTCCCGGGCCAGGAGCTGCCCCAGGGGACACTCGCTGCGCACCTGGGGGAACAACGGATGCACATGTGGCCCTGGTTCCCTCCAGTGCCCCCTCTGGAGCCCCCTAATTGAGATTATCAACTGCCCTCCATAACTAGTCCAGGAGCCTCAGGTGCCCTCCAGGATCCCTAACTGTCCCCCCCTGGATTCCTCCCGAGATATGGAAGTGTTTCTCATGAGCCTCCCCCTGGCGTCAAGGATCTCCCCCGCGCAGTGCTAACTGCCCCCGATCCAACTGCTCCAGAGCACCTCAGTGCCATTTCCATAGGGAATCAGCGTCCATAGGGAAGCATATCCATAAGGTCCCCGAAGAGGCCCTTTCTGGGATCCCCACAGGATCCCCTGCGGTCCTCCCTCGCCAGTGTCAGGGTCACCCACTGAGATCCCTCATGACGTGGCCCCGCGGGGACCTCCCGGAGCCCATCGGAGTCCCGGAGCCCTCGCCAAGGTGGGGGTGCCCGCGGGAGGGGTCTCCTTGGTCACCTTGGTCATGAACACCTCCGGGTCGAAGTGGGGCCCGTTGATGTCGGTGGGGTCCGGTGCCGCCTCGGCGGCCTCGGCAGTGGACGGGCCATAGTAGCGCTGGAGGGGCCCGTGGGGACGCCGCCATCCGCCGCCCCCGGTGCTCCCGCCAGTGGCCTCGGGGCTGCCCGCGGCCCCGCTCCCGGCCCCGTTCCCCGCTGTCACCGCCGCCATCGCGCTGCCACTTCCGCCCCAGCCGCCACTTCCGGCCTCTCCTTTACGCCAGTTCCGGTGAGACGCCCGGTTGCCAAGGCGACGGGGAAGCAGAGCCGGACATGGCGTGGCCCAGGTACCGGGGCCTGGGGTGGCCACGACGGGGACGGAGCTGCAGCGGCCTATGTCCTGCTGCGTCCCGGGGACAAGGACCCCAGTGAGGACGCAGACATAGGTGGAGACACCGACACTCGAGCCGTCAGCGGCCGCTGGCACCCCCAACCCTGGCTCCGTGTCTTCCACTGTTCCTTCTCACCACGGATCACCTGTCCCCAGGCCTCCCCAGTGTCACTGTGAGTCCCCATGAGTCCCCCCATCCCACCCCAGGGTCCCACTCCAGCCCCGGGGTGGCTCCGGGTGATGGTGGAATTGGGCTGTGAGGCCACAGGTACAACCAAGTGATCAACCTTGCACCTCGCACAAGGAACAAACATTTGGGCTAAAAGGTCTAAAATCAGCTTTATTTACAGCAGGAAAGACAAAATAAACCCCGCCAGGATGAGGGCCAGGCTGCTTCAGGGGCTTTTCATCGGGAGTCACCTGTTCCAGGAATTACAAGCCATTGATTCTTCCCAAGGGAAAGAGTCAGAGCTGCCATGTTGCACCAGGAGAACAGAAAGAGCCAGAGAAGTTCCTGCTGGCTTCTTTCTCTTTGCCTTCCCTGCACATTTTTTTCCCATATGGGAAAAAGAACACACCTAATCCAGCCAGGGTGTGTTTTGTGAGCAGTTTGGTACATGGGACAAAATTCCCTTCATAGCTGTGGACCCGAGTTAGCCCAAGGGCAAAGGAATTCCCAGTGGGAACAGGGAGAAGGCAAAAGAACACCCAGCCATCCATGAAGAGGGTTTGCTGGAGTCTGAATCAGAGGAGGAGGAATGGCTGAGCCCTGGCTGTTGCAGGAAGAGAGAAGCAAATAACCAAAGACACCCCCCAAGTCAAGGCAGGGGTTCCTTTTGTACCTTCCAAATTCATAAACAAATCAACAAATCCCTCATTGATTCCCCCCAGCTCCTGACTGCGGGGGGAATTCCACTTCAACCTCTGCTTTATTGGCACAACATCTCCCCAAAGTGGTCTAAAACCAGGGTGCCAAGGTAACCACAATTAACTGGACCTCCTGCCACCAGATTTCTTTACCCTGATTTAGTAACTTAGTTTGCACATGTGTGGGAAGGTTCCACACAACTGCAAATCCATGTGGTTATCCTTTCCCACAGGGTCCAGCCTGGCTTGCCCACAAGGATGATAAAGACAACCAAGCCAGGATTTAATGAAAGTCCTGCTCCCCTGCATCTTTTCCCTGCCACAATTTGAGAGTATCCAGGCCCAGATCCATTGCTAATTCCATCCTAAAGCAGCACAGCACAGGTTTCCTTTCAGCCCAGGAGTATGATCTGCAAGTCCCAGGGAAATGGAGAGCGGCCACATGGAATGTAAGTCACACACTGGTACTCCCAAATCCCAATAAATCAGCATCCTAAATCCTACAGCTTGCAAAGCTCAGATGGATTATGGAGTATCCACAAGTCCCTGGATTTGTTAGTTACGGGTTTTCAGCAAGAGAGGTGATGCGGAAGTGGCCCTTAAAAACAGCCCACGGGATTGTGGACAAGGCAGGAGGTCACGGCCTGAGCCATGACCCCAAAATCATGTTCGACATGAAGATCCCTTTGGAGCCAAACTTGTTTTGGAAGAGCTGTCTGGGCCCAGCAACAATGAGGAGCTGGAGGGAGGAAAAGTCACCGGGAAGGTGAAGTTGTGGCCGAAGGCTCCTCTGGAAAACGTGTGGACAGGTCTGCGGATGGTGGGGTCTGGCCTGTGCCACCTGCCCTGCTCGGGGGTCTGTGACACCTCCCAGCCCGGGCTCAGGTGCCTGCCCGGGACACCAGGTAGTAGAGGATGAAGAAGATGAGGATGAGGGCCACGGACACGGCGAGCAGCAGCCGGCGGTTGTCCCGGCCAGAGCGCGCCATGCCGGAGAAACGCTTCACACTGCCCGACAGCAGCCCCGTCACGCTCAGGAAATCCGAGTCCTGGTGGGAAAAAACACCTTGGATGCGTTGCAGAATCATGGAATATCTTGAACTCACAAGGAGGGGCTCACAGGGATGAGCCAGTCCAACTCCAGGCCCTGTACAGGACACCCCAACAATCCCGGTGATGATTTAGCCCCTTAAGGGATTTTGCCATCCCACCTCTCATCCCAATTCCCTGATTTGTGTCTATTTCCCAGGTCCTTACCATGCCATCCAGGTAGCGGTTCTGTTCCTCAGCATCCTTGTCAATATCCAGAGCCAGCTGCAGGGCAAGGAAGGAAATGGGCATTAATGAGCTTTTAATATCCACAGAGCCTTTAAAATCTGAAATGCAAATATTCAAACAAACTGCTGCTTTCCTAGCTCCAACAGACACAAAGGAGCTTATCTGCTGCAGGAACAAGGAAAATAATTCGCATTTCCCTGTCAGGCAGGTGAACTTTTCCAGGTCTGAAAATAAAGCCTGTCTAAATCTGCCAGGTAGAGAGGGGAGTTGTTTAAACTCTGGGACACAATGGTAAGAATTCAGTCTGCCCTTTTACACAGTGACTCATTGACTTCTTTCATGGTTTGTATGAAGTTTTTAATAACAATTTAGAGCTTAAAGCTCTAAATCAAAGCATTTGATGTTAACAGGAGCAAACTAGCTTTAAGAACTGTTATATAGAGACATAGGCATTTTCCAAAATTAATCTTCCTGCCTTCTTTTCATTATTTTTTTCCCCCAAGGAGGTGAGTTTAGCAACACCCCTGGGTTCAAGGCTAGGTCAGACAGGGCTTGGAGCAACCTGGTCTAGTGGAAGGTGTCCCTGCCCATTGGAAGGGGTGGGACTGCATGAGCCTTATGGTCCTTTCCAACCCAAACTTTTCCATGGTTCTGTGATCCCCTGCAGGACTCCTAGGCAATCAGAGCCTGTCCTTCACCTCAACACCTGATGTCACCTCGGGCACTCACCGACTTCAGCCTGGTGACCTTGCTGGCCAGGCTATCGGCCATCCGCTTGTTCTCCACATCCAGCAGGTCCTCCATGGCGCTCGGACTCTGCCCTGGGGAGAAGAACAAGGAGCTCACATCATCCGTGCCCCACCACGGCACAGCTCTGTTACCATCACAGCCCCTCCTCGCATGGTGTGAGCAGTGGAACCCTCCGAAAACGTGACCAGAACACCCCAGGCTGCCTCCAAACAAGAAGTCAGACTGGCACCCTGAATTGCCACCATGGCCCAGCAACACCCAGGGATGAGATTTTGGGTGAAACCCGGCAAACCCGGGGCCCTTTGCCCCTCGGCCGTGTTGGGGTCTCGGCACTCCCCCCCACTGTGGGGCAGCTGGGGGGCCGGGGGAGGAATTAGGAGTCCTGGGAAAATTGGGGGCTCAAAGGGGTACTTAGGGTTAATAGGGGGGGCACTTAGGGGTTCAAGGGGACAATTAAGGATTAGAGGGGGCAATCAGGGGTTCGAGGAGAGCAGCCGAGCAACCCAAAAGGGGCCCAGGTGGGCAATGAGGGCTTACGGGGGGGGCGGTTCCAGTTCTCGAGGGGAAAAATCGGGGCACTGCAAGACTGCCCGTGGGGTTCAGTGGGATCGGGAGCTCCTCCTCCTCCTGACTCGCTCCAGCCCCTTCTGCCCCCCAAACCTGTCCCTGTCCCTTGTCCCCTCACCTCGGCCCCGCTCCGCCATGGCCGCCCTGGCCCGTCCCGCCCCGCCGGGCGGAGCCGCCACGAAATGTCCGCCCGCTCTTCCTCCTTCTCCTCCTCCTCCTTCCCCCCGGCACCGGGACCCTCGGGCCGCTCGCCCGGGCCGGGGAGGAAAGGCTGGGAGTGTCCCCCGAGGGATCCCGGGCCGCAGGTACGGCCAGCGCCCTGTCCGGGCACAGGGGGCTGCGGGAGAGAACAGGGGCTTGGGGACAAAAAATGGGGGGGATTGGGGACAAGTACAGGGCTTTGAATAGGGGTCTGGGGACAAAAAGAAGTTTTGGGGAAATAATTATGGGTTTTGGGGGGGGAATGCAGAGGTTTTGGGGAAAAAATAGGGGTTTGTGACAAAAATAGAGGTTTGAGGGGGGAAGTAGGGGGTTAGGGATATAAATAGGGGTTTGGGGATAAAAAAGGGGGTTTGGAATTTACTCCAGTGGTGGGGAAGGAGGTGGCAGTGTGAGGAGCTATTAGGAGTACGGAAAAGGGGGATATGCCCGATGATCCATTGGTTCATGTCATCGCCCCAAAAGCAGAGGTGGATCCCCTCCATCCCAGCCCCTGGGCATGGAGATGCTGTGTCCCTGTCCCGGACCAGCCCAGCCTCCTGTCTCCGCATCTTTTCCCCTTCTAAAATGCAGGATCTGCCTCTTTTGGTCCCCCCAAAAAGCCCCTCTGGGGCTGGGGAGGGGACAAGCCGTGTGATTCCCAAACCCCTTTGGGGGCTCTGGGCCTGGGGTCCCCGTTTGTTGAGGTTGGTGTGACCAGCTCAGCCTCATCCTTATGGGGAACACGGAAGCCGAACACATGTCCGAGCCCAAATCTGGTGGATTTCCCTCCGCTGGGAGTCACGTCGCAACACCGTGGGCTGGCGTGGCTCCGTGAGCCGCTAAACTGGTGCCGTGTCCAAAATAATCCCGCGGTGCTGCGCATCTGCTCGCTGGCAGTGTCGGCGGGGACATCCTCCTGCTCCGGACGAGCCTTTTGGCTGTGCCTGCAGGGATCGGCCATAATCCAGCCCGCCACCAAACCCTCCTCGCTCTGCTTCCCACCACCTGCCAAGGTAGCTCCGCCTGGAGCCGGAGGATGCTCTCCCGCCTGGCTGCCTCGCCGCTCCATCCCTTGTCACTCCACGGGAATGTTTTTGGCTTTATTTGTTATTTTCCCCCCTGTGCGGCAGCAAAAATCAGGGCAGGCGGGGAGGAGGAGGAGGAGGCAGGGAGCTATTTCAGGGAGCTGCTGTTATCTGCTCCACGTTAATCCTCAGCTGGTGGGGGGAAGGTTTTCCCTGAGTGCTTTCCTGGGAGGGCATATATTAAACATTGAAAAGCAAAGCGAGGAAGAAGAGGATTAGCAGGAGAGAGAGAGGAAGCTGGCTGCTGGCTTTGCTCGGGTTATCCATCTGCTCCACTTTTATGGATGCAGCAGTGTGAGCAATATCACTCGGGATTTTTTTGTGTTGCTTTTTTTCCCTCCTTGCTCTCTCCACCTCTTTCTCTCTTCCCTCTCAGAGATCTGTGTGTGCCGAGGTGCTTTTCCATCACCCTGGAAATCCCCTCACTCCCCTTCCTCTGGGTTGTGCCATAGCTGAGCTGTTGGGATAATGGAGCTCCAGGCTGTGGTATCCACGCTGGAAAGCGGGGAGCAGGACACCGTTCTCAAGGTGCTCCAGGTCTACAACCAAGAGGTAAGTGAGCATCAACCCCTCCCTCAGCTCAGGGACTCCTAAAAAAATTATTATCCAGATAACAAATAAAGTGAAACCTGGCCGGGAGATAAAGAGTACTGAGTAGGAGGAGCTTTTATGTTAAGGCAGTTTTGGAGGTGCTGAGAGAGTCCAGGGAGGAGCTGCAGGTGAAATGATGTTGAGATTTGCAAGTCAAAGATCATTAGAGGTGACTGCTGGGATCTCATATGGGCACGGCTCTGAAAGCAGTAGATGGCAAATAATGAAACCCCAATGATCTGGAAGCAGAGATGGGAGCGTTTCTAGCCTTAGAGTAGGAAAAGATTATCCGTGGTGGTGAATTTCTGCTTGGAGAAAGGAGACTGAAGGAACACCTGAGGAGCAGCAGAGGGGCAGCTCCAGTCTCTGCTCTCTGTGACCAGTGACAGGACCCAAGGGAGCAGCTGGAGAGGTTTAGGTTGGATATTAGGAAAAGGTTCTTCTCCCAGGGGGTTTCTGGGCACTGAACAGGCTCCCCAGGGAATGGGTGCAGCCCTAAGGCTGCCAGAGCTCCAGGAGCGTTTGGACAATGCTCTCAGGCACAGGGTGGGATTGTTGTGGTGTCTGCACAGGGCCAGGAGCTGGACTGAATGGATCCTGTGGGTTCCTTCCAGCTCAGGATATTCTATTCTGTGAAAGCCTGTTTGAAACTGACTCTGGTTGTCAGGGAAATTTCCTTCGGAGGTTTCCCCTGGGAGGGGCTGGCCCTGTGGATCACTCTGACTCACTCTGCACCAGGCTAGAGTAGGTGGAAGCCAGCAGGGAAAACCTGAGGAATATTTTGCAAGAGTGTGAGAGAGAGAGAGAGAGTGTGTGGAACTATTCCTAACAGTCGAATTTGGAATGTGGAGCTACTGGCCAAGAAGGAGCAGGTGTCTGTTAAGGACAGCATTGAGGAGTAACAGCACCAGCAGCAGGTGCAGCGCTGGCATCCTCAGGGTGCAGACAGTGTCTGTGTGCCCCCAAACCACAACATTTCCTGTTGGATTCCCCCAGCTGGGTCCTTCCTGGGGTATCAAGCTTAGGGAACTGGAACCACAGGGTTTGCTGGCCCGTCTGGAGGAAATGGAGCAGTCAAAGAGGATTATGAAACTGCAGATAAACCTGGCACGGCCTGGCATTGCTTCTGCTGCAAGACTGATGGTTCTGTATCCTTTTCCTGCGGATTTGTTTTAATTCACTGTTGTGCACTCAGTTTTTGCTTGCTGGGAATAAACTACAGCTAAAGCAAAACCCCAGGTGTGGCCAAAATATCCCCAAATGAGATTACAGCCTGAGGAGAGGATGTGCTGAGGTAAGAACAAGCAGCCTGCTTGTGGAACACAGCGGTGCCAAGACCGAGCCATCAGCTCCTAGTAACGTGGATGGATCAGCTCATGGAGCTCACACACAGCCTGGCTGGAGTACACCTGTCCTGCCCCCACACCTGGGGCTGCTCCAGGCACTGTGTCCATTGCTGCTTCCAGGCTGCACAGAACCAGTTCCATCCCTGGGCTCTTGGTGACTGCACACACATAATCAATGTTTTATGGATTTTAAACGTTTTCATTCTCCAAACTGGGATCAAACTCTCTCTTGGTATGAACAAGGATTGCTTCAATCACTGTGAAGTGCTGCTTCTCCCCAGGCACCTGTGATCTCCTGTGCTCTCCAGTTCCATGGGAGCAGGTTTGGTCAGGAAAGAGATTTGTCAGTGAGGAACAAACGAAATAGCAAGAGAAACACAGTGAATGGAGATCAGGAGTGTTGGTTAGCATGGGGACAGGATGGAGTGTGGAGTTCACGTCCCTTGTGTTTAAAGAACGACCTGGATAACCACAAGAATCCATTCCCATATACCAAGGAGACAGGACTTCTTTTGGTCAGAAAAAGGAATAATAAATATCAAGGGGAGATGTGTAGGCACAGTTCAGTGGTATTGCTGAGCAGGGGAATTACTGGCTCTGATGGGATATTGGGACTGGGATGAATACCCAATGTGCTGCTGCAGTATTTAAACTAAATCCATCTGTCAGCTGGCCTGTGGCATTCCACTGGTGCTGTGGATCCAGGGGTGATACCCATGATGTGGGGGGGGACCTGTCAGGAGATGGTGTGCTTGCTATTGCAGCATGTTTTGGACTTGCTGCTTTCCAGCTGAATGGCTCTGCCCTGGTCCCATAGAGTTTTAACCTGTTCCTCTTTCTGATTGATTTTGTTTTTCCCACAGAAATCTCAGTGCTTCATCTTTGAGGATGAGGAGCGGGAAGAGAGGAAGGTAGGCACATGCTGTTTGCTTTCCTCCTCTGGTCAGTGTGTAAATCTGCTGCTCTGTACTCATGTCCAGCTGGGCTTGGCAAGCAGCTCCCATTGGAGAAGAAATGAGAGTTTTCCATTAACTTTGTTAGGGAATGGTGCTTGGAGTGTCTGGCTCTGGTTTTTCCATCAGTAGTTGGTGGTTTTGGATCATGGAACCAACACTGGTTCCATGATCCATATAGTCCCAGCCATGGATGTGATCTCTGGTGCCTCTGGACAGGGATCACAGCAGTGCTGGTTCCAGGGGAGGGTGAGAGGCTCTGCTGGGAGCCAGCAGTGGGATTTGCCAGGAGCTGTGTATTAGCAAATCCTTTGAGCTGGTGTA